TCATTGAATTCGGATTTCATTAGCAGTGTGAATTGGGCATGGATAACTATAACATATACCAAAAGGACAGAGATAGTACAGTCACTGGTAAACGGAGAAATTGAGTTGTACTGATAGCAGTAAATAAGAAATATAAATCCCAACAGCTGCAAATCTCTTGCAATGATAGTGAGGAAATATGGGTATCTGTGATGTAGGTACCTAGTAGGAATTATTATTATTACTGATGAATTAGGAAAAAGTAATATTATATTTGGCAACGCTGATTTCAACCAGTTTTAGGAATGTGAATATGAAAAACTATACAATGGTACCAAAGGGTACTCTCGTACTTGTCATTGGAGTTTTGGCTTTTGCTTTGAAAATAAATCATTTTAAATATTATATTATATTATTCTTTTATTTGGGCAAATTTCCTAATAGTAGAGTGCCCAACGCAGTTAAAGCCTTCTAAAAACGAGTTTTGTGGGCGCGTCGGGGTTACAAGCTGAAACTTGCACAGAATGAATGTTTCATTATGTTAATTCAAAATCCCAAGGTAATAAAAAATCCAAACGGGCAAAAGGGCAGTATATTCAAAAATTGAAATTATTGCATGAACGTAGAGAATAGTAACTTATGACTGTTCTCATATAAAATTTATCTATATTTTTGTACAAAGTATATTTTTTATCATTGCTTGAAATAAGCCGAATACATTGATCCTTACGGTAAAATAAATCTAAACATTGAAATATCTCCATTCAAACCTGAGCAAAATCTGATTGAAATATATTAATTTTTGCATTCACCTCGCATTATTTCCGGAATGGAGGCTCAATTTTTTTTTTTTTTTTTGCAAAAAGTTTGCTTCATGTATCTAAAATATATACAGTGTGCGCCATAAAGTTGGGTACTAACTCTTTACCCGGTTTTCGATATCATTATCAACTTTTTTCAAAATTCCCGTTAAACCGATAATCACATGACATGTGATATAATCGATTTTTTGGTTATCGAACATGCTCTAACGATCCCTAAAAAAAGTTTTTTGAAAAAAGGAATAATTAAGAATTTTCCCATATGTACCCAACTTTATGGCGCACACTGTATATGGAAGAATAATTTTTTTTGTCTCAAATTTTAAGGGAAATATAGTATTAAATATAAAAAAAGTAATTTTCTTCTAGCCGTGACAGTTCGCTCTGCCGCTGCACCAGTACTCATCCATCTCACTTTTCTCCCTAGCTCCCTTTCTCTCTTGCCAATTGTACAATAGGTACAATAAACCCTTTTACGTTTAAGTATTATATACTTTTGAATTCTGATTTCAAAATATTCAAACCTCAATTGCTCGGTAACCGTTGAGCAAATTGCATTAAAATTTCCAGAATTTGTAGCTTTTATTAAGTTCTATATGGCCTGTAATTTACAATATTTCCAAATTTATAGTTTTTGAGCAAATTGAGTTTGAAGTTTTTGACAAAATTTGGACTAAAAGTTAACTTTGAGGCTCAATTGCTCAAAACCTATTCGAGCTATCGAACTCAATTTTGCACAAATTTATAGAGAATTTAATGCTCTTTCCAATTATGTATAATTTATTTCAATTTGCTTAAAATTTATCAAAGATATGGGCAATTATTCATGACCATGTCAAGCTTTTGAAAATTTTCCAGAACCAAAAATAGGATTTTCTTTTTATTTTTGTTTCTGCTTAAAATGGGCATTTGGAATTGAAGTCAGGGTTGTTTTCCACTAATTTTGACTCGCTCTTTCGATTAGTCTACCATTATATATTATTACTATATGTTCATGCAATAATCTCAATTTTTAAATATAGTGCCCTTTTGCCCGTTCTGATTTTCTATTACCTTGGGATTTTGAATTAACATAATAAAACCTTCATTCTGTGGAAATTTCAGCTTGTAACTCCGACGCGCCCACAAAAGTCAAAATATATTATAAGGAGCACTCTACTATAAATATTACAGTATCCACAAGTCTCTGCAAGAATCTCAAAAAACTATTCTGGTATGTGTATATTCCACCATCATCATGTAGCGATGCCTATAGAAAACATTGTGAAACAGTGGAAACAGCATCTATTTTAGTCTATATAGCTACCATAGTTTATTTGTTACCGGGGACTACAATCTCCCTAATTTAAAATGGTCTAATGATGCTCTTGGAACTCTTATTGAGGGATATTCCTCAGTTGCAGAGAGCGTTATTGACACTTTTCCATATTTGAATGTATCAAATCAACAATATACCAAATTACAAGGTTGTTCATTTAGACCTAATTTTCTGTGATAACTTGAGTCATAGTCATAAGACTGTCTGCACTAGTGATACTTTGGTAAACTGTGAGGTAATTATTTACTATAGTCCCTTCACCTAATATAACATGATTGAATTTTTATATGGTTATGTGAGACTCTAAATATGAGTTTTTGATAAAAATTATTTGGCGCAAATGTTCCAATAAAAAAAAAATATTTTTTTTTTTTTTTTGAAGGCGCTTTTCTAAATAATTACCCCTAAGTAATTATTTATTATAGCCCCTTCACAGCCCCTGACACTATTGAATTTTTTTATGATTATGTTAGACTCTCAATAATCGATTTCAATAAAAATTATTTGGCGCAAATGTCTCAATTTAAAAAATTATACCTATTTTTTTTTAATGTGATTGCAAACTTACCGATAATAACCCGTCCGCCTAGTGCAATTTGGTCCTCGTAGGTTAGCATTTTATTTGTAAAACAAAACGTGCCCAAGGAACATTATACACTAACTAAGAATTTAACTCAATTTTTTTAAAATAAAATGGTAACTACAAGAATTAGATCGCACTAGGCGTAATTATTTAGAACAGCACCTTCAAACAGAAAACTGAATATATTCTTTTTTTTTTTAATAGGAACATTTGCGCCAAATAATTTTTATTAAAAACTCTTATTAAGAGTCTAACATAATCATAAAAAAATTCAATAGTGTCATATTAGGTGAAGGGGCTATAGTAAATAATTACCAACTGTGATAGGCATAGTGATGTGAGTCGAGAATATTCCCATGCGAATATTCGCGAACATTGGGAAATTTCCGAGGATATTCGCCGATAAAAAATGGAAACGTTCTCCTGAATGAGAATATTCCCGGAAACTTTCAATCAAAAACTCTCAAAAGAATATTTCTGAGAACTTTCGAGAATATTTCCAAGAACTTTCCAGAAGAATTTTATAAAATGCGAGATTATTGTGAATACAAGGTCTCAGTGACGTCATTTCAATTTATGTGGATGACAGCCCAGTCCAACTGTCTTTACGGAAACGCTGATCCGATTTATCTGATCACCAGCTGATGTACCTACAGTTTGTCTTTTTTTAAATAATCTTCATTGAAGAAAGATAAAAAATAAAGAGCTGAGAGATTGGGTTAATCGGATCAGCTTATCCTTTAAAGCCTTATTCAATCGTCCATAAACGTGTTTTTACTACATATAGTTTAATTTTTAGCTGATCTTACAGAAAAAAATAGGTTTTTTTCTTGGTTTATAGTCTATAGTCAGTAGACTACAATAATAGGTAAATAAAGCTTACTACAATTTGTCTGATTTAGCTATAAATGTGACATGGATAGGGTGATGGACTGGTTCAACATCAACAGAATGTCCCTAAAGGTTAATAAGTGTTCTGTTGTCAGCTTTACGAGAGGAACAAACCCAATAGAAGAAACATACAAGATTGGTGATACTGAGCTTGATCGTCAAACAGAGGTGAAGGATTTGGGTGTCTTTTTCCAGGCGAACATGAAGTTCAATAAGCATTTTCATCATGTTGTCAATAAAGCAGTAAAAGCACTTGACTTTGTAATCAGGAATAGTAAGAACTTTAAAATAAGTACAATTATTAACTTGTATAATGCTCTGGTGAGACCGCACCTTGAATATGCATCACAAATTTGGATGCCATTGGAAGCCACGCATATTGATGAAATTGAAAAAGTGCAGAAGAGATTTTTGCGGATCTCTATGTGGTTATAAATAATATTTACCCATATATGGTTCCTTACAGGGATGTGCTTGTTAGTTTTGAGATAAAGTCATTAGTGGAAAGAAGGAATAATCAGGCTGTGATATTTTTGTTTTATATTTTAAACAACCTAAAGTATAAGGATTGTAATTTGATTAACTATGTCTCCTTAATTGTACCAAAGATTAACTTAAGAATTATGAAAAACAAGAAATACTTTGGTACTGTTCCTAGTAATAATATGTCACCATTTAATCGCATGATGACAGTTGCGAACCAAGCACTTAATGAGGTCCAGGTAGATCTTTTTAATGTAACTTTAAATCAATTGAAGGCCCTTTTAAATTAGTCACATATGTTTACATTGTGTACTATATCTGTATTTTTGTGTTTTACACTTCGCTGTTTTAACTTTACATGTAATTACTATTTTTGGTGTTTGTAAAGTGATGAAATAAATAAATAAATAAATAAATTAAAAAAAATAGTATATTGTGTATTTAGGTGGAAAAGTGACACATTCTCGGCCGACGGCGTAAGTTGGCAAACACCGAAGGCCAATAATGTGCTTTTCCACCGAAATACACATACTATTTTTTCTGCGATCGGTTCAATACTTGTTAAATATTTGTCTTTTAGTTATCAATTATTCAGCAGTACGAGAATCACTTTCCCGGCCTAGGCCGGAAAAGTGTTTTCTATATTGTTATTCATTGATTCCTTAGCAACTATTGAAACATAATTGAAATACCAGAATAATGAGTTTTGCGACCTGTCTACCGGTCAAAAATGCTGACATTTCTTGTCAATCGCAGAAAAACAATATTTCCGTAAGTTCCCGAAAGTTTCCAATATTCCCGGAAAGTTTCCGAGAATGTTCGCGGCTTTTGGATGTTTCGGAAATTTTACATCACTGGATAGGCATCATCCAGCTTATTACTGTTGACTGTGATAATATAAAAAAAATAAAAATATTATCCTTACCTGTAAATAGTCTGTGCAATTCTGTAATACTCCCTGCAAATATCTACAAAATTCCTGTTTCGAAGGTGTTTGTATATCATTAATCAGAGTCCTAATACCAGCCAATAAAGCTAAACATCTTGCATTCGAGCCTAAAATGACCTTTTCCGAATACTGAACACCTAATCTCATAAATACTGGATGGATCTCTTTAAAGTTTACTAACTTTGAAGAGTATTCAGGGTTGGGTTCTTTGTATAAGTGCTGCACTAGTTGCACATGTTTTGATTTGAGTATTTTAGGTTCTACTGTTGATTTTTTGTCCGATTTTTTAGCCTCGCCAGGTAACATTCGTGTAGGCTTTTTTTCGAGGGATTTAGGGTTTTCAACAGGTTTATCTTTAACCTGAAAAAAATGGGTTGCATAGGAAGAAAAATTATTTTATTTACAATCATACATGTAATGTTGACTTTACTGACTTTTAAAAAGTTTGAAAATGACACTTTTTTGACTTTTACTTTCGGCCCACGGGTCGAAAGTTTACTTTCGACCCGTGGGCCGAAAGTAAATGAAATTGTCAATTATTGTATTTTTTAGTTTTAATTCAAATAAAAATTTCAAAATTCGAATGATTGTAAATAAAATAGTATACATACCTCGGTGAAAAGTTTCATTACTGTCTCGAGATTTTAGTTAGACCTCGGCTGTGCCTCGGTCTAACTAAAATCTCTCGACAGTAATGAAACACTTTCCACCTCGGTATGTAATATACTATTGATATAAGCTATTACCTCCTTGACATCTTTTTCAACCTTAGCTTGTCTTTGCGCTTCCTGTTGCTCTCGACGTTTCGCTTTTAATTCAGCCTTACTCAGGCTCAGGCCATCCTTAATATCACCTTTTCCTTTTTGTTCAGACAATTTCTTCTCCCATTCAAGTTTCCTTAATTGTTTTTCTGTTAATTGTTTATCATTTGTGCTTGCTTTTGAAGTAGGATTGTCCATCTTTTCGTCATTGAGGGGCTTGCTTTTGGAGGGCTTTTTTTCTCTTTGAGGTTTTGTGGGTTTTTGTATTGCATCAGCCTTAACTGTGAATAAAAAGGATAATATTTTTGTGATAAATTAAAATGATTAGATATTGTCAATAATTACCACTTGGAGTTGGTTGAGGAGGATTCATTTTCTACTATCTTTTTATTATGAAAATTTGAGAAAAAGATTTTTTTCTTTTTCTTCCTTTTACAGAAATTACATATAACCTGAAAAAAAAGAAAGATACAAATTGAGCTGCGTTCGATAACTTCAAGGTTGCCACATTGCTATTGCTCCGGACCGATAAAACGGTTGGTGCATCAAATGAAGTTCACCGTGCACCGCACCGAAAAATGGAGCATTTCAAGCAAGGACTGTTTGCTCATCAGCCTCGATTCTCAATTTTTCTTATCAAAGACATATGGTGTTGCACCGTTGTCGACGTCTCAACGGTGTCGTTAACTGTTTATTGCGCCAGCGGTCTTAACCGACGTTTCCATATGCATAGTTTCTTGGCGCCAGTTAATGTGCCAGTTTGCTGGCGTAATAATAGTGGCGCCAGTATCTGTTTCCACTTGATATCAAAAACTTTTAACTGGCGCAGTAGAAAAATGGCGTCAACTGAAGTGATTCAAGCAGGTTTCAATGTTGTAGAAATTTTGTTACTAGAATTGCAGAAGATACGAAAAAACAAGAAGAAGGTAGGTAAGTGAACACAAGATCGGGGTACGAATATGGATTTCACGCAGAAAAGCTTCACGAGCATAAAATATTTATTGATGCCATAACAAAAGTTTTACACAAGTCAAAAAAAGAGATTACAAATATTCATGTATACTATAAAAACTTATGGAAATAAGGTACTCTTTGATTTTTGTTTTGAAGCCTTGAATTGGTAATAAGGACCTTGTGTGGAGGGGCAATTCGTTATAAAACAGCGGTCCATAGAAAGACACCCCTGTTTTCATACGATTTATTCGATGAAAATCAGTTGTGGTAGGTACCTATGAGATTTTCAGGAAGCAATTGGCACATGAATGGGTTTACAAATAGAGGAATACTCGGAGGAATAATAAAAAAATAGTCTTACCAGGAGTCTAACACAATTTCAGATATTGGTAGAAGATCCAAGAGCTAGTAAAAGAAATGCAAATCGCCAGATACCTAAATTGAATGCTCTACTGCATTGGTGGATATTATTATTGCACTAATATGCAAGAACACAAAGGAAAAACTCTAATTTTAGCACTTTCCACCTTTTGTAAATACATTTTAATAATTATTATTGAAGCTTTTTATTTTTTCAAAGACATTTTGTCCTACAAAACACCATCCAATTTTTTTATGTATACCTAGGTACGTAAAATAGATAATTTATTTTCAATGGAAACTAATGGCACAGCATGCTTTGTGCCTATTATTTCATAAACCAATAATAAAAAACAAAACAAATACACAAGGTGAGAAAGAGGTTCTGTTTTCAATAGGCTTTTTTGGAAACGCTGAACAACCTACATCAGCTGCTACTCCAACGGTTCGGGGTTTTCGAAAACGCCTAATTATGACATCACGAATTGGCTGGTGGCGCTATCTTCGAAAAAAAGCCTGAACCATATTTGCCAAAATATCTGAAATTTAATTCCAAAATCGGTTTTAGACTACAAAAAAAAACGGCACATCAGAATTTGCTGAAATTTGGCATAAACATTCTTTGATCGATTATCTACAGAATAGTGCTCTTATTTTTTCAATTTTTACCGTGGATATTTCTATTTTTGGGAAATAGTTCATTTTCACAATATAGGTCAAAAAAAAATTCGAAATACGGAAAATCTAACTGCACTATTCTCTAGATAATCGATCAAGGAATGTTTATGCCAAATTTCAGCAAATTCTGATGTGCGGTTTTTTTTTTGTAGTCTAAAACCGATTTCTGTATTTTGTATCGTGTGCATGGGAGCGATTTTGTCCCCTTAAAAGCACCTCCAAAAGTTACTTTACCGCGGCCGGTTCTGAACGTGTAAAGCCAACCGTTTTTGGCACGCTGGAGCCGAACTTGAACGCAATATGCCAATTTTGGCTTGGCTTTAGCGGTTTTTGAACGCAGCCCTGAGCTGCTATGGCAGAGTAGTTCACGTTGGTTCACGTGCCTCAATGGAAAGCACTCGTATCTATTCGAGTTTCGCCAGTCGACCAGGGCTGCGTTCAGGAATGGCTACAGCCAAGCCAAAATTGGCATTTTGCGTTCGAGTTCGGCTCCAACCTACGTGGTTCGGCATTACCAGGTGGAGGGGGAAAAGTAGGTTTTGGCATTAGCTACAGTGGCTAAATAAACCTTTACATACAGTGGCGACAATAGAGGTTTCGCCGCCATCTTGTTCCCAACCTCTTGTTACTTTTAAATATTAATTATATAGGATTTAAATGGACATCTATCATAAAAAATTGAAATCGACGTATTTGATGACCATTATTAGGTCCATCAAATACGTTGTTTTCCATGATTTATGATGAATGTTCAATGTTCACCTAAATCCCATATATTCATATTTAAAAGTAATAAGGGGTTGGGAACAAGATGGCGATGTTTTCAATATAAATATATGGGATTTTAGAACCAATCAAAAATGAGACAGCAATTGTCGCCACTGTGGGTTATAGAGTCACTGTAGCATTAGCATTGCCGTCTTTGAACGCACCCCAGCACACACAGGGTTGCCAGATGTCAAGAGGTAAAGGAGTCGACGTTGGTCCCAATTCTATTAGAGTGAATGCAATTGATACTAAAATATCGTATGTGAGTGTGACTGCTAGAGTTTTTATTTCAGCTGTACTACCTCTCTCCGCGCATCGCCCTTAATTATATTTACAGATTTACCGCCCCGTGCTATAGCACCCAATAGCACCCGTAAAACCGGCTCTGTTGTAAAGGGGAAAAAGTGACAACGATGAAGTGAGTTTATTTTAAAATTGCTCTTATTTGAAGAAAATAAAAACGATTTTACAAAATTTGGGTTTTTTTCCGAATATCTCGAGAAGTATTCGGAATCTTTCTAATTTCAAAACGGCATTCTATTGGTCATAAACCCTGTATCTCTTACGATATCCGAGATCCCAATGATGAGGCTCGAATTTGGGCCACCCTATACATACAATGCAAGGATTGCTAATTGGCCTCGTTTTTGGTAATCGCCACCATATTGGTGTGTCACCATTTCCGACGTCATAATTAAGTCGTCAGCTGTTTCCACTAGTAAGCCGTAGTTTAGAATTTGAATTTATGAAGAGAATTATTATTTAGTTTTGATTAACATAATAGGCAAATAGGAAGATAAAAACGAAATCTAAAAAAGAGTTGTTTTAGAATGTTAATAAATGTAGTAAAACCAAGTATGCATAAAGCAAAAGCCCGCAGAATCATAACCTGTACTGCGAACAGCCTACGCCAAGGCGAGAAACGACAAGCTCCTACGTCACAACTAGTGATTTGGCGTGGTGAGGGGCTTCAGATTTGTTCCACACAGGCCTTATGTATGAGGTTAGGCTATCCTGTAGTAGCAGTGTGTATTATCCTTGCATACAATATCTGAAATCGTTTACTAGGTATCGTTCACTTTAATAAGCAAAAAAAATTCAGCTCAAACTCTCGACAATTTAATATCGAATTCCATCGTCAACAAAAGCGGCCATAGAAAAACATTTAAAGGCGATTTGGTTTTCCTTTATTGCGCTCGCATGGGTTATTTAGCTTCTTCTTGATAAGCCCTATTTGATATTCCATCAATTTTCGGCAAATAAATCTCATCCCTAGCCTCTTCAACTGATTTAGTATTGAAGTCGTCCCATGGTTGCCTCTCTCCAGAGCAGAAGATTAGGAAAAAAACGCCCGTAGATAACACCACACAGGTGGCTAGTATAAAAGTGTGCCTCCACTCAGATTTGTTAGTCTTAAAAACAACAATTATTATCACTTAGAAACAATCTACAAGGGAAATACCTACCTGATCCGGAACCATAAAATGCACCAGCAACGGAGCCAAGATGGCCACCAGCTGACCCAAACCGTTCGAAATGCCAGAAAGCGCACTGGCAAATCTGGGAGACAAGTCGATGGGATTCACCAAGTGCCCGCAAATTATAGCTGAGTTAGCTGTATACGCTGTTATCAAAATAGCAGCTATAGCTGTTTTGTTTTCTATATAAGAGAGCGCCAAAAGGGCCACTGGAGTCATCATGCCGATTGAGTGGAAAATTCGTCTAGAATTTCCCGTGCTTACCCAATCTTTTTTTGCTATTAGCGATGCTATAGGGCCGAAGCACAGGGAACCTATTAGGCCTGCAATTTGCGGGACTGATGAAAATAAACTGGACTAAAAAAAAAATACGTCATCAAAACGAGTAAAACGACTATACAAGTAAGTAGTGGAAGTTGGTAATAGATTTACATCTGTCAAAAAAGGGACAATATATATACATATTACTGATCTTATCAGCAAATTGGTTTGGTGCACGTGACGAGACTAAATTGACACTGGAGGAAAGGTAAGACACCCAACCTTATCCCATATGGAGTTGGAGTGTCATGCTTTCTTCTTTTGATATTTTTTCCCTGTTTTAGTTATATTTTTGTTTTGATTTGCTGGTAATAGTTTTTAAAGACATTTATTTAAGTTCATATAGTACTGTATATTCGGCGGAATTGTTTTTACATCCTACAACGGCACAATACGAGGGTATTTTTGACTCTAGTCTACATATAATCTAGGAGGAAGTGAATTATATTTCAATTAGAAACAATTTTTCAAAGGATTAGGAGCAATGCACGTTGATGGACAAAACGTTTATAGACGTCTTATTTTCATAGATGTTATGTGACGCAACGTCTAGACGATATTTTAAAAATAACGACTTGTGACACAACGACAATAGACGTCGGAGTCGGCTCTCACATATAAATACTACGAACAAATTTATACGCACAGAGAAATATAGGTTACTGTCACCGCATTTTGAAATTTGGCCGATTGAAAGTAGGGGGTAACATGGGGGTAACGCATGTCTGGTTGACACAAAGTCAGTAGACGTCCGGCTGTCATTAGTCAGACATGTTGTATTTTTGTTATGTCACTGTTCAACAAACTGGTGAATTGAATAAGGTGTATACGGATATTTGCAAATAAAAAGTAAAAAGTTTTTATATAACAATTTCTTGTGTACTGGAGATTCAAAAAACCTCAAACGGATATATTATTTCGTACATTTGTTGATGATTATT